AACATCAGTGTTGGATATGCAAATATTTCTATTGGTATATTATTATTTGGGGTATTTTCTGTCTTATACGGTGCAAAAAAGTCAAACATAACACACCATTTCATTTATTGTCTTCTTTTAAATCAATGATTTATGAGCTAATTCACGATTAAAATATTTCACGAGCATGTTTACAAATCGACAAAACAAAAAAAAGTTAAAACATGAATACACATATTTTCATATACGTTCCTACTTTATTGTCATGGTCTCCTGCCGTTTCACATATTTTTTTATTTTCTTCTTTTATTCCTCGACCTGGCGATAAACCCTTGTCACAATTGTTAAAGTTATTCACACTCAACGCTTTCAGCAATTCTTCCACTTCTTTAACTTTAGACCCGAAATCAGCCAGGCTTGAAAAATTCCTAGACTCCTTCCATTGTTTGTATTTCTCTACCGCTATTATGCTTGTTTATTCGTTTATCCGAGTTCACCTCTTGTGATGGGCGGATTTTCTCATATAATTCTATTCATGTCGAAATCCTTCATAAGGACGCCTTTGAGCCTCTTGTTCGTTCACCGAAAAAAACACTGGTCCCATTGAACAGGGGATTCTTAACGAAATATTTTTACCTTCTTGTCGGCTCAGATCAAATCTGATTACATAATTTATCAGCTGATTAGTCTATAGACAATACAAGGGACGAATCATCTCCACAGGTATTCAGTCAGGGTGAAAAGACCCGCTTTAATCACCTTACACTTTAGGTGTGAGAATGGGAAAGTGATATTTCTGCCACCTTTCTACTCGGATTAATGTTCACATTTTGACGTCTGCCATTGTGCGGTGATTTGAGGTTCGAATAAGAAGCACGTTATCTAAATTAGATGATTGACTACCCGTGACCAGGGCGGAGCACCGCAGCAAATGAAGTCCTCTGTAATCCAAGATTTGTGTGCTGCTTGACACCTGATCCGCTTTGACGAGAAATTCCCATCTTTATTTAAAAACTTTTTCCCTTTGACCCTACATGGAAGTACATTTTAATGCATGCATAATTTATAAACCTTTATGAGATGTTTATTTATGAATTCCTGGAATTTAATATTCTAGACCCTCTCCAGCCTACATCAGATTCAATCCCATCTTCATTCGGTCATCAACTAAAATGAGAATTGATAGCAAATAAGATGGATTACCTTAATCAATCTAAGGGTCTTGGATATTTTCTTTATGTCATTAAAGCGATCTTAATAACCGAGGACATCGAGTTGATGTCATGTTTCAAGATTGTCTGACGATGGCGGTAATTGGGTATCGTGCTTAGAGTATTTCTTCAAAACTGATATTTGGTTATAAATATTCATTGTAAAATAATAATCATAGTTGGTGTGGTGTCAGTGATGTAAAGGGATTATATTCTTACAATATAATTGTGTAGGAAAGCTCGGGGACTGTGGGCACGCTGTGTTTGGGACACGCAATAAAGCGATTTAAATCCGGCATAATAGCTAATATAAAACAGTTTATCCACCTCAATTCCAACCAATACTTCACCTTATACATATAAATTGCTTCTATTACGATATTATATTAGGTATTCGCTAAATTTAATAACAGTATGATCCGACTTGTATCTATAATTCACACACCTTATCAGCGCTTGTACCCCCTACAGCGGCCAATTCATATCTACTGAGAAGCAATTAAAACTCCTAAGCCAAAAAATAAAAAATAAAAAAATAAATAAAGCCGAAGGCAAGTCCATATACCTTCCATATAAATGCATTATTGTAAACTGGTTTTCTCGCGTTTAAAACATACTTTTTTTGTAAAAGGATTTTTTTTATGGTTTCGTCAGGGATATTATAAATCTTTCGACAAATAATCATCGTATCATTTTTATAAGGGGAATAAATCGACCAATAATATGTTGTTGACCATTCAGGAGCTGGCGCGTGAGCGCGAGCTGTAATCACAGATGACGATATAAAAGCGGCCTATAGAAAGTGATTGATGTATTATAGTGGATAAGACTGATTCGCCATTAAATGTCGCATTTTGTTGAAAATGACACGGTTTAATTTTTTTTCTCTATTGAAATAGAAGAGACGGTGTCCAGTGTCCGATTTAAATTCTGCTGTACGTTGCCAAACTGGTTGTGGATTGAGTTAAACTTTTAAAGAAGAATTGTGTTGTTTGCCTACCCTTTGTATAAAGAGTTTTTCTCGCACCCCGGTACAATAGACTGCATTAGGAGTTTGTATCGACACCTATATAAAAGACGCCAGTCGTTCAGTGTAGGGGTTAGTTTCGTAATGACAACTGGAAAGACTGGATTATTAATTTGGACAAGTATTCCAACCTGTAGCAGCCGATGACTAGCCAAGGAAGTTCGGATACCGCATGGATGACTGGATAGATACGGATGAAACGTTATAGCGCAAGGTGAGAAGGCAATTCGATATATTTGATAGAGTGAGCTCGTATAACCAATTGGCGTGCCTCATTCAATGGTAATCGTGTGCTCCCCGTAGTTTGGTGTAGTAGTAAGGTCCTAACCTAGTCTATATCGTAATAACCATCTTACTTTAAACCATGTACATATCAAACATCAAACAAACTTCCACTACATACTATTCATATATTGTCCCATCATGCACCATTGTTCACACGCGAGACGTTGTTCTCTTAGAAAAGCAGACGATCTTTTTCAAACGGTAAATCACACGTTTGGATGTTTTAAAATCCCGAATCATTGAAAACGATCACACGCCCCATGCTGACAATGTATCTAACTTTTCAAAGCAAGAATTTGCAGGAAAAATACTTAATCTTTGTGTCAACAAAACGAGTGCGAAACGGTATGCGTGGTATAGGGTCTGGTTGTTTTAGGTTTGGGGGATGACCATACATGGCATTTTCCGTGTTTAGATTTCTCTGTAGGCTATGATATGTGTTAAGATTGTTTCTTAAAGTCATTGAGGTTGGTTTCACACCTTCTGTTTGTTGTTGGTAAATTCACTAAGTTAACAGTAGGCTTTTATAAAGCACGTATCTGTTTGGTTGAAATCGGCCAGTTAGGTTATTTTTTCAGTAATTCATTTTACAGCTTCACTTCTAGTCGAATTTAGAAATGTCAACTAATTTCTTTCTATTTATTTACTGTAATCATTATTGCTGGTACCCCCCACCCCGGTATCGAATTGCATCATGAAAAAAGCGGATTGAAATAAACGAATCGAATAACTTTGTGGTCCGCCAGTATCCCACATTTCAAAAACACGACCCGTTCTTTACTGATTTTAAAAGAACCTCTATTTTAGCTGTGATGTTGAGTTTATGGCATTTCTACCATATTCTTTTCCATTTTCGACTTTAGGATAGCATGAAACCCTCTACGGCAGTCTAGTAGTAAAGTTTAGAGAGACAAATCACATCCATAGCAATCTCATATCATTTGTTTTTCCTAAGAAGTACAAAAGGTTGTCTTTAACATTGTATAATTTTGATGGAGTGTAGGAGGAATAAACGAATTAAGCGTTAAATCTAGAAAAAACATGTACCGGTATACAGACATTGTGAATAGGTTTTTGGCTGAAGAAGGATCGGAGGTTACTTTCTGACATAAAGCAGAAGTTTGTTATTACATGACAAAACTTAGATCTTGTCATGTGAACTGTTCTCATTGCACATATAGTTTATCATGACGCCCTTTTTTCACCCTACCTTCATAATTCCGTTTAGTATGCAGTTGGCACGTTGCAGTTTGTTAGATTGGTGTCAATTTTGTGCTAGGTTGAGGTGGTAGGGTGTATTCTACAGCTGTACAGAATACATAATGATACCATGTCGGTGTGTTTTCACTCGCAAGATACGGTATCGGGTCGTCCCAGTCATTGATGTGCGAGCGAAACTCCCTCTGTCAACAGATCATAATCCAGCATTTTTAAAACCAAAAAAACATCGACAAGCGACTAAAACCTCGTCCTAAGATAAATTAGCACAACATAAGACAGAGGTTACTTTAGTGCTGATTAACTACAAATTCAAGAGTTAATAGCTACGGATTTCCCCCCTTTCCTTTCAAAACCCGCGACGTTTCGTGTAAATGTTTTTTTTTTCTTTTGAAACATCGCTTACATCCCACGCGAGCCATGTTCAAAGATGGCGTATAGTAACATCTTTGATTTGATTTTCAAGGGGGCTTTTTTCCATCAAACATTGGTGACTTCTTGTACTTGTCAACACAACTAAGATAAATTTACCAAGTATGGATGACTTGATTGTGTTGCACGTTGTGTTTAGAGGTGACGTTTAGAAACAACGCTTCAAGACGGTCGTCTGCTCTTTGAGATTGGCGAGAAGACATTGTATGACTTCTTCACTACCCGTAATCGCGTATTCTCTGTGTTTGTAGCAGCCATTTTGGTATGAGAAAAGCTTAAAATATTAGAGAAAATTGCGTTCATTGACTTGGGGAGTGTGGAGAAATCGACAGCTGGTAGAATATTGCCTGTTTCACGCCAGAATGCCCAACCAGTGATATGGAACTGGTGATTTCCCGTGCAACTCTCTCACACACAGTTAACGACAATAACATGTGCTCTTGGCACCGTCTTGTATTTCTAGTCGACTAAAACACACCACTTGTGTTTTATATTTAATGCCGGCTCAGATCCGAGCTGAGTAAATAAGCTTAGAGATTGTTTGTTGGTCGATGTTTCGGCATATGCTTGCAAGATGCTGGTAACACGGTTCTTAATTAGCCTCAGATTCAATACAAACCATCAGTCAGGCCACGCCTTAAACTACCCTTACTCGCAGAAGATTTATAGCACACCCACTGCACGTGTTCCTTCTTGATACTGAATGCTAAGTTAAAAAAAAATACTCTCTACCTATACTGGTCGGTATTACACACTACTCTTAAATTCTACCAAACAAAGTTCGCAAGGAAGCGAAAAGAAACTTGCCGAGTTTCTCGCCAGACTTTTGCACTCTTTCCACGTGTGGAACACCCGTCCTGCCAACATCGCATTTTCTTGTGAAAATAAAGCTCACATACTTTAGAGAGTCTGCGGCCAATTAATTAGCCTTTCTCCTGGTTAATGTGGAGTGAAAATCATATTTTTGGAGTGTCGGCGTGATCGTGGCTATGGTATGAAATGTTTAATTCACACTGTAGAAAGATTTACAGTCGTTTTCTAACAAAGGTAGCCGAATACAAACTTATGTTTTCTTGTTAATCAAACGAATTAAGTCAAACGTTTTGATGGCATTATTTTAAAGTGTAATAAGATGAGGACCAGGGAAATGTTTTGAGTTGTAAATTTAGATGGCTTCACTTGATTGTACAATGGCCAATACGCTTCTCTTACCGGATATCGTCTGCTAGCTGGTTAGGGTGTGAGACTGGGGAAAACATCAGAGAATGGAAGGCGGGAGATGTTGTATTTGATGAGCAAAGGCCGGTAAGCTAATTACAAACTATCAATCATAAACCACTGATGATTTCAGTATTTAAATCTTCATTATTATCCTTGCTACCTCATAACATCTTTTCAACCTCCCGATATATCCCAGCTGCTCGGGGATCATGACTCACGGATAGCTATTATCCGATGCCGGATACAGAGCACTGTTAGTTTGCATTCCTTGTTCACACCGATGGTGCATACACTGATTAACCCGGAGATATGAATTAATAACTGAATTATAGGTTGATGCTATTCAGTATAATCCCCGGTGTTTCACTCTATCGTGTATGATTAATAACATTTCACACATTGAACTGATTAGGGATTATGGAGTAAGATTCTATCGCGTACTAACAAACCCATACAAGAGCCAGTATTTAACTTTACACACTTGCGGAATCTGCAATGAAGCATTTTAAAAAAAGTGTAATGGAATAGAAATTGAATTAGCAAACTAAACTCGATATTAGAATCTAATAACATTTTACATGTCTACATCCAAATCAAGAAATCAAATTTACTAATGATCGCGAAAGTGAGTCAGATGTGAATGTTTTCTTTTGGAGTTTGTTAGTTACGGTTACCAAGGTTTTGATGCAAACAAATTCATTCATAAATAGAGATTCAGGTTGAAGAACTAAATCTAAATGAGATCCGACAGTTGAGACAGATTGGACATACAGCAATTTGGCTTTTACACAAGTGCAATGGATGAATGAAAAGTGAGTGAGGTATGAAGAGGCTTGGTATGTTATCTGATGGAGAAAAACAGTTGCGACATGAATGTTATATTCACGCAGCCGTCACTCTTACATTTAATTAACACACACGTAAGACTTTTTAATAGGTGATAACTGAAGCATGACGATGTCTGACAAGTTTAGTATTTATGTATGTATGTATGTATGTTAGTTAGCAAATCAGTGTATAAGTATGGAAGAAGACAGTGGTGATATATGCAACACTATGGGGGCATTTATATTCTGAAAATTTCCGTTATGCAAATAATGCTCATACCCCATTATTTGATTGACGTAACAATCTGTCGCTACAGTCTTTGACGGGAGAGACTCTTGTGTACTTGCGTGTGTGTGTGTATATTTTCGGGAATGGTATTTATTTATGCAAATATGCGTGAGAGGTTTGATTGACACACAGGGCGTTTCTTAAAAGTTTCTACACATGGTGTTTATTTTATACTATGCATTGGCGATTCCCATCTGTACTGGAATGAAATCAACTCTTTTTTGGCTCTATCTCTTTTTCTGTTATTTAAAGATGTCAAGTATTCTTTAGTTTTACACAAGTGTGTTTGTCTTAAGACACGGCGACACTCTGTTATTAATAAAAGGAAAAGTTTTTCAATGTATTTTAAAAAAAAAAAACCATGAATGATCGAATATCAGACAGAAACTAGTTTTTAATCGATATTCGATAGCTAACCAGCTTGGTTTTCTTTATTCTTGCACACACCCATATTGCCATAGTTCTCTCTTGCTTTTTGCAGTTCTGTGTTAGTTTCATAAATCATAGGTTGCCGACTATAGTTTTCTCTTGCTTTGTGCATGAGAAAAACTTCACACGAAAAGCTATGTAAGCTAGTTTCGTAAATCATAGGTTGCCGATAAGTTTTCTCTTGCTTTATGCAGTTCTGAAAACCTTCACTCGAAAAGGTGTGTAAGCTAGTTTTGTAAATCATAGGTTGCCGACTTGAGCAATTTGTAAAATGTAAGGACACCCTGTAACATCTTTTAACTTATATCAAGTTCTGTGTTGAGGATGTGAAGATATGATGTATTTTATTTCATTGATAAATAGTCTTATTACTCGATTTTCTCCTACCGTTACATTAGTTTCGCTTACCTATCTAGTCCGTGTAATTGTGTTTTGCACAGCAAATCAGTTTCTATCAATAAACGTTTGCTCAATTTCTTCTCGTCTGTTATTCGCGAACTGTGACAAAACATGAGTTCGTCTATTTCTATTGTTTCTGAAAGACGGGGACAAAAGACGAAAAAAAGTATGTTAAATAAAAATCCAATGTTCTTTATATTTTAAGCGAACAAACACAATTTGTCTTTTTGCTAAACAAACGTTAAGTGGGTCGCCTATTATCACAATGATCGACGAATTTTAATTTAAGATAAAAGCATTTAGATGATAATTGTTACAGCAATACAGGAAAAATACCTTCAAGTAGAAGGAAATGTATAATACTTGTGACTTCTAGTGGGTTCGCTTAAGATGTTTCCTTTACAGTGCTCTCTCCTTCGGTATACAACGACAATGAGTCAATGACAACCGTTTTAAATTTTCAACAAGTCAAATATTGAACTGTGTTTGATAAGGTAAATTTGTTCGACAAACACTAGTTTTGCACCTTGATTGTTGTGCTATGATTTCTAGCTCTTGCAAGCTGCGGTAGACAACGCCGTAGTTGTACCACTGTCTCGACTCTTGTCATCTTCAAAATGGCGGCGAGAGAGCGACGACACCATTTCTGGCCTTTTTGTGAAGTCGGCATGTAACATCTTCTATGTTGTTATTGGAAAGAAAATAAAAATGTCTGTTTCGTTTATACAATCCAGTCATTTTCTTAATGAAACTGAACAATGCTTTTCAAAGAAGCCACAAGTGATATTGTTTTAAATGAAAATGGAACCAATTTAGTTATGCTCATTAACAATCAAATTACCACGTCTGTATATGATCGGCTTCCATCTGGCAAATATATATATTAGAACTTTGCATAACAGTTTTTGTTCTTAGCAATTTACTTTAATATGATATCGAAGGATGCATGATACAGAGGATAAAGGTAAATATTTATTAAGTAATATGTCAGATCTGACATGCCGAAAGCTATTTTAACTTGAACAACATGGAAACAACACGATCCCATTTAAACAGTAGCAAGAACAACCGTATACGATTAAAGCTTTAATAATTACTGGACACGCCTCACGTGGACAGACACAACACATGGACGTGAGTTTGCATACAGTCTGTAAGAAAATGCTATGTACGCTAGAAAATGTTTGACATGTAACAATAATACAAATTAAATGACGAAGGCATGAATAAGATTCGTGTAAAAACCCGATCAATTAAAAAGCCTTTAAGGCTGTTGGTCAATATTTGAATTTGAATGATTAGAATTTCCTCCGTCATTAACACTTAATGCTCCAGTGTATGGTAATATTCTTGCATGGATTATGGATTCAGGATTTACTTCTGCTACGTTTCACAGCTCTGGCTGCTGCTGTCATATCATATGCAGCCCGCTATGGTTATTATTATGCCATTACTAGTTATTCCTGCAATTATCATCAATCAATCGGTGTCATTTTAATATATTTCACATTTTAATGACAACGCCTGCACTGATGTAAATTATGATTCCATAAAATGTAATAAATTTGAATGGACTTTTTATTGTACACAAAGAACAGGACGTTGACACATTAAAACTAGGACCTGGTGACATATCATTTCAAGTTGTATTAATTTTAATAAAAAAGATGTTTAATGGATATGTTCTTTATAGCTACAACCATCATAATCATGCATTTAGAATGAAAGTCGGCTGCAAATTATTTTAATACGTTTTAAACATACGCAGGCGCGTAACTGGGGGGAGGGGGGGGGCAATCTCCCGCCCCTCTGTGAAAGAATTGTCGACCATAAAAAAAAACTAGATATATAGTGTCCGTCAATTTTACAGCACGCCTAAGAACACCCCCCTCCCTCCCCTCGTTGCTCTGGGCTAGTTACGGCCCTGCACATACGGAATATTCGGACTTTGGTAATTGTGATTCTCTGCATGTTGACTTTACAGATATGTTCCCAATCAAGTAATAGCGGTGGTTGTCCTTCTCTGGGTAGAATGTGTTACTGGTTGCGAAACTTTGACATGTGATTGCACAAATGCATCATTTTGTATTGTAAGACTAAAAAATTGACTACATTTTGTTTTATCGTAATTCATTAATTGTGTTAAGTTTACTGAACAATATTTCAAACCAAATTAGTTACAAGAATAAACATGTCATATTCTTATTCGCTTTGTAAAACTTACGCTATTTTGTTACTTTCCGAGTTGTTTAAACAGTGTAAACCCCCTCTACTAATGCGACCAAATCCCAATATAAGTTGGTGTCTTAAAGAATCAAGTTCACCCCTGTTCTAACCAGTACTTTCAGTACATTGATCTGTTGTGTTCTCGATGCGAAAAGGTGGTCTGTTACCTTTATCTGTGAGATAATCAAATAATTAGTATCTCTCTGGTGCTATGATTTTTCAAAATTGAAGATTTGAGTTTTCTTCCGGGTTCACCGTATAACCACCACCGACTGCGTTCATTGATGATAGTATGAACATAGGAAGTGACATACCTCGTCAGTCCTGAGAATACTTCTAAAGAAAGTTAATAGAATTGGCACACATGTAACCTTCGTTGTTTTTGAAGTTGTCAAACATGATTACAGTGTGAAGGTCGTTACTTTTGGTTTACTTCCATGTCCGGACATGTTTTAATCCTTTTGAAGATGGTTGGTTAATTGTATGCGATTAATTAAATGCACGTCCGCCGGGTGTAACTATCATGTACATGTAACATACATTTTTGAACGAAACGGGAATTATTTTTTTTTGTTGTTGTGTGTGTGGGGGGGGGGGGGGCGGGGGGCTGATGTCCTGGGGCCCCACCATGCCTCATTGTTAATTCGGCCCTGCAAACAATCCATCAGTAAATAGATTTAATAGAAATTATATGGTGTTTGCAAAGATCGGTAACATGTATTGACACCTCCTAAAGGTCGGTGATTTACCACTTTTATGACTACTAAAAACAGGGAATCATTTACAGATTTCTAAACTTGTACGACATTTATATAACGTTAATAACCATGCCTTAAAAAACAAATTGCAATTTAGACAAGGTGAAAGTAACAAACATAACACTCAACGGTATTGGGCCATAAAATAATTACTTT